CTTTGGGAGGCCAAGGCAGGTGGATCACCTGAGGTCAGGAGTTCGAGACCAGCCTGACCAACATGGAGAAACCCCGTCTCTACTAAAAATACTAAATGACCTGGGCATGGTGGCGCATCCCTGTAATCCCAGTTACTCAGGAGGCTGAGGCAGGAAAATCACTTGAAACCAGGAGGCAGGGGTTGCAGTGAGCCAAGATCACACTATTGCACTGCAGCCTGGGTGACAAGAGTGAAACTCTGTCTCAAAAAAAAAAAAAAAAAAAATTTCAGTGCAACATCTAAAATGATACCTAAGTATACAAAGGAAGAAAAACCACCCAGCCCCTTCACACACACAATTTCGTGTGTTTCTTTTTGACCCTTTTCTTCCCACTTGCTATATATCAAAGATATTTTTATATTTGAGTACATTTACATCTAGTTTGTACTTTCTTGTCCAGTTTGTTTTTTCCAGAGCATGGACAAATCAAAATGAAATTCTGCCCTTGCTTCCCTGGGGACAAAAAAAATAAAAATAATTTTTTTGGCTGGTGGTGGGGGAAACAGGGTCTCTCTCTGTCACCCAGGCTGCAGTGCAGTGGTGGTGTGATCATAGTTCACTGCAGCCTTGACCTCCCGGGCTCAAGCGATTCTCCCACCTCAGCCTCCTGAGTAGGTGGGACTACAGGCACCACCATGCCTGGCTAATTTTTAAATTTTTTGTAGAGATGGGGTCTCCCTATGTTGCCCATTCTAAAAATAATTAAAAAAAAAAAATTAATTGTGCGCTTATGGATGGACATCTGGGCTGTTTCCAACCATTACAAATAAAGCACCCCTATATATTCTCATCCTTGTATCTTTGTGCATGTATATATGCCTTTCTGTAGGACAGATTCCTACAGTGGAATTACAGTGGTCAGAGTATGCAAACTGTAAAATTTGCTATGTAGCTAAATTGACCTTCAAAAGATTATACTAATTTGTATCTCCATAATCTATAACATGGTGTTTCCTATAGCCTCGTCAACACTAGGCATTATTTAAAATGTTTAATTTATGCCAAACTGCATCTCCTATTTTTTTTTTTTTTGAGACAGAGTCTCGCTTTGTTGTCCAGGCTGTGGTTGAGGGGCACAATCTTGGCTCACTGCAACCTCCGCCTCCCAGGTTCAAGCAATTCTCGTGCCTCAGCCTCCTGAGTAGCTGGGATTACAGATGCCCGCCACCACGCCCAGCTGATTTTTTTGTATCTTAGTAGAGATGGGGTTTCACCATCTTGCCCAGGCTGGTCTCAAACTCCTGAGCTCAGGCAATCGCCTGTCTCGGCCTCCCAAAGTGCTAGGATTATAGGCATGAACCACCATGCCCAGCCGCATCTCTTATTTTTAACTGGAATTTATTTGTTTGCTAGTGAGATTAAGCATCCTTCCATATAGTTACTACTTTTATTTCTTTAGAGCATTGCACATAGATTTCTTTTTCCCATTAAAAAAAAAAAAAAAAGGTTTCTGCTGGGTGCGATGGCCCAAAACTTTAGGAGGCCGAGGTGGGAAGATTGCTTGAGCCCAGGAGTTCAAGACTAGCCTGGGCAACAAGGTGAGGCCTCGTCTCTACAAAAGAAAATTTAGAAACTAGCTGGGTGGCCGGGCGCGGTGGCTCAAGCCTGTAATCCCAGCACTTTGGGAGGCTGAGAC